GAAGGCGTCAGTGTGTACATTCCAAGAGACAGTCTCAAGAACTGCCGCGAAAAGAAAAGTTAGGCAGAACATCTGAATGGGCAGCTCTCCAAAGATACACAAACGGCCAGTAGGCCCATGCAAGGGTGCTCGAAGCCATCAGACTTTAGGGAAGGTAGGCCAGGGATTTAGCTCAGAGGCTCAAGCACTTGCCTAGCAAGTGCAAGGTCATGAGTTCGATCCCTAGTACCAAAAAAAAAAAAAATCACACAATGTGCCCCTTTTGGGATTTCTGCTAGGTCTGTTCACCAGGACGGCTATCACCAAAAATCCAAACGACACAGAAGGTGGAAGGAAATTGGAATTATTGCAGATTGTTGGTAGGGAAATAAAACAGACAACTGCTTTGGAAAAAAAGCCTACAGCTTCCTCAAAACTCTAAATACAGTGGTTTCAATGGCACATGCCTATAACCCCAGCTATTCAGGAGGCTAAGTTAGAAGGATTGCAAGATCAAAGCCAGCCTGTGCAAATTGCTGAAACTCTGTCTCAAAATAAAAACACAGACAGCAGGAATGTAGATCAGTCCCATAGCACTTGCTTACACGTACAAGGCTCTCGTGCTGAAGCCCCAGAGCTGTAAAAACACACAAGAAAATCGAAACACAGATTTCTTATTTGACCCGGCAATTCCCCTAGTAAGTGTAAACTCAAGAGAAATGAAAGCACATATCCACACAAAACATGTACTCAAATCATCCCAAAAGTAGAAACAACCCAAACTTTCATCAACTGAATAATGGACAAATTAATCATGACACAGCCATGCAAGTAAATATTATTTAACAATTCAGAAGTATCCAAATACGTGGCAGTGTGAACGAACCTTGAAAACATTATGCTAAGTACAATAAGCCAGTCACAAGGCGCGGCATTACTCTATAAAATACCCAGAATAGTGATTGCCAGCAAGCTGCAGATAGAGGGGACCAGGCAGTGGTAGCTAAGGAAAGTGCGATTCCTTCTGGGAATGGAAAATGTTTAAAAACCATGGTAACTGGGTGTGGTGGTGCACGCCTGTAATCCTAGTACTTGAGAGGCTGAGGCAGGAGGATCATCACCAGGAGTTCCAGGCCACCCTGGGTTACATAATGAGTCCAAGGCCAGCTTGAACTGCACAGTGCGACCCTGCCCTCCCAGAGCATGGCCCCAGTGACCTGTCTCCTCCAGCCAACGCCTTCCTCCTCACAGCAGGCTCATCTGTGACCACTGGGGAGGAGGGAGGAGGGTCAGTCCATGGGGAAGTATGGGGCCCCTGAGAGCTCAGCACCTCCCAAAAGCCCAAACTGCGTATGCAGGTAGGATCTGGGGGGAATATTTCAGATCTTAATCATCATATTTAAGAAAGAATCTATAGTGTCTGCATTATCCTTAAGAAATGGAAGAAAGAAGTGAAGGAAAGAAGGCAGGGAGTGAGGGAAGAAGGAAGAGAAGAGGAAGGGAGAGGTGAGAAGGGGAAAGAGGGAAGGGGAAGGGGGAGGAGGGAAAGGCGGGGCACTGGCCAGCGCGGAGACTGAGAGCAGGCAGACAGCCAGCCTTCACCCCTCACCCGACCCTCCTGGCAAGCCGGGCTTGCCCTGGGACACTTGACACTCACCGCCCCATCAGCTCCTCAGCAGATCTCTGACTCAAAGCCTAGTGCCAGTCACAGAGGGCAGTGGCCTGAAAACCTAACCGCTCAGGCGCAGAGGAGACACCTGGTGCCCTGAGGCCCAGGACGTTACCAGCGGGACTCTGATGAGGACTCTGGGCTCCTTCTATTCTTCTCCTCTCTTTGAATATTTCCAAAGACACCATCATTCCCATATCCTTGCTCTTTTCTTTTTTTTAAATCTCAAATGAGGGAATTCAGAAGAAAGAGACAAACACAATGCGCTCTCCAAACACAGAGTGACTTTTAGCCTCTAATGTAGGCACACATAGAAGCTTTGCAAGCACAGACTTCTCTTTGGTTTCCTGGACCATCTGAGAAGCTTCTCCCGGTCCAGATGCTAGGGAAGATGCGGAGAATCTAAACCAGAGCACAGCACATGCAGGGAAAGAACCCACAAGGCAGTGTGTTTCCTCCACGGTGTGCTGCAGAAAGTGCAAGTTTGTGGCTAAGGCAAACGTCCTTCCCAGGGCTGGGGTGTCCGCTCAGGTGAGAAAGACAAGGCCTTGCAAAGTATCAGAAAGAAAGGAAGAAAGAAAGAAAAAAAGAAGGAAAGAAAGAAAGAAAGAAAGAAAGAAAGAAAGAAAGAAAGAAAGAAAGAAAAGAAAGAAAGAAAGAAAGAAAAGACCATTTATTTAAGAAGCTTGCAGCCAGGTTGGTGGTGCTCGGTGCCTATAATCTCAGCATTGTGAATCAGCTTGGGAAGAGACTGTCTCAAAATAAAAAATAAAAAAGGTGGGGGATGTAGCTCTTGGGTTCATCCAATAACACATACAGAGAGAGATAGACAGACAGATACCTCCTAGTTCACAAAAGGTCAAGGGAAGAATTTCAGTTGCCAGGCATCCTAAAGGAGCAGTGGGGGAATTAAGAGCACCCCAATTCGACAGGGTAAGCTCGGGATTCCAACATGCAGCAGGACCCCACTGAAGGCCATCTGCTGCCCCCGGGCCCTCAGACTGCTAGAGTAGACCCAGGGCCCACAAGAGGCTACGACCATTGTGCATTGGGCTACAAGCCCACGGCAGCAAGGCCTGGCCCCTCCTCACACCCAAGTCCACCTCCAGAAGTGCTCTCCGAGGCCAGCAAACCCACTGCCTCTCCCTGAGTGGCACTCTGAAGAGTCTGTAAATAACGCAAGAATTCCATGCCAAGACAGGGAAATGCCAGCACTCATGCAGAGCAAGGCAGAGCAAAGCAGCTCCACTCCACGCAGGGAAACCCAGAGAAAACTCTGCGCCAAATCCTGCAGAAGAAACTTGGGGGTGGAGGGAGCCTCCACGGCCACACCCCGGGAAATCGGTGGATTCCAGCAGAGCTTTACTCCCCAGCTGAAAGCAGATTCAACCACTCTATTCAGAGGCGGAAAAATCCTCTCACAAAAGAGTTTGTGTGACAGTTTTCCTTGTCTGCTGCCCCCTACATCTTGGAGAACTGAACCGGGGGACTTCACGCTGAGTCCATCTCCAGCCTTCCTTCCTTCCTAGCTTGCTTTCCTTTCTTTCTTCCTTCTTTCCTTTGTTTGCTTATCTTGAGTTAGGTCTTGTTAACTGTTAAACTGCCTGGACTGCGATAAAACTTGCATCCTCCAGTCTCAGTTTCTCAGTCTGAGATGAAGCAATCTTAACCCTTCAACCAGGCCAGCAGGTTTTAGGTTAATTTTACCACAATTAAAAGCAAAAAAAAAAAAAAAAATCAAGCTGGGTGTGGTGGAACACACTTGTAACCCCACCGCTCCACCCCAAAAGAAGAAACCAAGTGTGTTCACTCTATCGGGCAAATTTTTCCTCCTGCAAATGGTGCAGCTCAAGGCTGGAGCTTGGGGATCACACGCCAGGCCCTGGCTTTCATCCTGAGCAAACACAAAAAACAGCGAAACCCTGACCCTCCACACACACTAAACAGCTTCCCTTCCCTGTCCCCTTGACCCAGGCAACAGCCTTTTTGTTTCTATGGATTTGGCTTCTTTAGACAGCTTCAAAGAGGAATCACACCATGCTTGTCTTTTTGTGACTGTTTTGTCACCTAGCATCCTGTCCTCCAGGGTCACCCACTCAGTAGCACCTGTCAAAAGTCCCTTCCTAATATTCATATTATAAGGCAAAGTTATATTAATGTTCGTACGTCACATTTAGTTTATGTATTCAGAAAATCTGTTTCTGGCCCTCAGGGATATGAGTCTAATGGTACACAAGCCAACGGGCATCAACTTTATACCAGGAAACATAGAGAAGCCTGGGGGTACACTGTTTGTGCTCCAGGAAAGAAACGGCAAGTGGACCAAGCTAAAGCTGGGTCCACCTCCATCAAAATGTGTCTTGCTGTGGCTTTCCATCTCAACCATCAAAGTCTGTCCCTGTGGCTTCTGAAGCCAGAGGGGGCGCCCTCGGAATTCCTGGAGGCGGGGGGAGAAGATACTGTGCCCCTTGATCGCTCCGCACAGGTGAGCTCAGTGTCCAGGAAAGCGCTGTGTACACGGACACGGAGGAAGAGCTCCAGGATGTGTCTCAAGTGAAAACCAGTGCATACATTAAAACCACATTATCCACGTGTGTGGATAAAAACACGCCTACATCATATGCTCATCTCAGACGGCCCCAGCCCCAGTGGGAAACAGAAATAACCAGATCCTTAGCGTCCAGGTCAGGTTCCAGGCTCCCAAGACACCTAATATTTTATCAGTCTCGGAAGAGTCCACGGCAGAAGGCAAAACAGCACATCAAAGTCACTCTCAGCCTGGTAGCTAGGCGGGAGTCACTGCTCCCCTAGGACAAGTGATCATGATGCGGTGTGTGGCTAGCACAGCCCCGACCTCCGGCTCGGAAGGCACTGACCTGGTTCACATCCCACGTCTGCTTTCTTCCCTCCGCTTCATTTTCCTACTCGTAAACCGAAGTGAAGAAGCTCGGGGCTTGCGGGTGATGCTAAGCGCACGCGGAGCCTCCAGTTGAATATTCAGTCTGTAAACAGTGCTCCCTATCTCTCCAAGTAGGGAAGAGCCACGCACACCCTGCGCGCCGGCTGGAGCGCGAACCCCGCTCCCGGACTCGTGCAGGCCAGGCTACAGCGCGGGGCTGCCAGGAACCCGGACCCGCATGGGTCCCCGCGTCCCCCACCGCCGGGTCCCTGGGCGCGCGCCCCCACGGCGCCGGGAGCCCGCGTGGTGCCGGGACGCAGGGACTCCGCTGTGCGGCCGGCGCGGAGCGGACGGAGCCGGCGCAGGGAGAGCCAAGGCCCCGCGCTCGTCCTCGGACTGCAGCGGCCCCGCGCCCGCCACCCCCTCCCCGGATCCCCCGCGGCGGCTCCGCACCTCCGAGCCCCTGGCGGCGGCGGCGGCGGCCCCCGGCGCGTTCATCCCGGCCCGGCCGACTGCGGGGCCGCCTGGCTTCTGACCGCGCGGCGGGGAAGTCCGGACTCCACCTCCGCACGCCGCCTTTTACAGCCCTGTGGCTCTGCCTCAGCGCCTCCCGGCAGGCGCCTCCCGCGGGGAAGGAAGGCGGCCATCCCGGCCCCTGCTTCGCCCCATGGGGTGCTGGTCACCTCGGGACAGCGGGGCGCGGCCCCTGACAGCGCAGCTGGGGCTGCCTTGACCTAACCTGTGCCACGCCCTCCGTGCCTCAGTTTACCCACCTGTGCAGTGAGACTATCGGCGAAAAAACCAGCTCCCGCGGGGAGGTGACAGGAAATAAAGGAAATCACTTATTTTGCTGCATGTGTAAAGGGCTATCCGTACACAGATTTGCTGCTGTTGTGTTGTTTTGTTTGAGGCAGGGTCTCCCTATATAGTTCAGACTGGCCTTGAATTAACATGCAGCCCAGGCTGGCCTGGGACTCTAGCGATCTTCCTGCCTCAGCCTCTAGAGGGTTCACCGGCAAGCACCGCCACACTCAGTCCAGGGCCTTCGTTAATTGTGTTACTTGTGGCTCCTCTGGCCAGGCTGTCCTGGGTAAGATTGTGCTCAATGAGTTTGAATGGAACCCAGGACATCGGAGAGGTGACACAAAGCCCCAAGAAGGGTGCTTCACATTACTGCAGCTGTTGAACAATATCAAGCATTCATCTCTGACAGATGACTTAAAATTAGGGACACCTGCCCATTTAGTCCAGCCTGAATTTTTGCCCAGTGAGCTCATATTTCAAGGCACAGTTAATAGGATTTGATTCCCTGTGTGCCAGTGCAGTTCTAACCAGCCTTTATTAGAAACAGGAGCCATCTCCTTTGTGTGCAGGCATTCCACTGTTCCCTGTTACTGACACATCGTGTCTCCCGGCCTGGCTTAGCGCTCTCCCTCAGGGAGTTCATAATTTGCAGACATACAGGTGCGGAAGCTTTGCCAAGGTCCCTGAGTGAGTGCCTCGGGACATCTCCTGCCTTCTCTGTGAATTCCCCTACACATCTGGGGACCTCCGGAGCTCTCACCAGTCTGCAGACCACCAAGTGGACAAAAGCCCCAAACTCCAAGGTTCTAAGCCAGCTCCGGGCACCGTGACGACTGTCATCCAGGTGTCTCTGCAGTTATCGTGCGTGTTAATGGGCTCAGGAGCTCTTGCCAAGCCTCAGTGCTTAAATTCCAAGTGGTACTGGATGTACTGGTTCCCACACCGCTGTCACTTCCAACCTGGACCAGGGTCACCCAGGGCCACTGTTGAATGAGGGTTGCCAGCCCAAGTCCTGCTCCTCTGCCGACAAGTGAGACAAGTGTCCTGGCCAGTAAGGCAACTGCATATGCAAATTGGGTTCCACAGAAGGATGGGGACTCTTGCCCACAGCTCATCTCTCCAGGAAGCTGATTAGGGAACAGTTTATTTGGGCAGCTGCTGGCGACCCCACACTGCACAGGGGCATGCCTTCCACCCCAATGGGCCAGGTGATGACCATCTGATCCTAAAGGCCGAGTCCTTTAGGAGCAGCTATTCAGTTCCATTACTTCCTCTGGCTACGATTCAGGCTATGGGATTCAGTCACCCCTGGATAGCCAGAGAGAAGAGCTTTGCCTGGTCCTTTCCTAACCATTGAGGTGGCTATGGTGAGGTTTTATAGATGCGATCAGGGCTCAGCGCTCCATAGGCTTTGCCCACCGCATTTAGGTATCTTCTGTTGGAATCCCCCCCTCACCCCACCCCACACACATAGGCCCCTCGTTTGGTTGAAAAGATTGTGAATAAACTAGGCATGATGGTGCACGCCTGTAACTCCAGACTCAGGAGGCTGAGGCAAGAGGATTACCACGAGTTCGAGGCCAGTGTGGGCTACATAATTAGTTCACAGCCAGCCTAAACTACATAGTGAGGTCCTGCACCTCCCAAACAAGAAACAATACATAAATATCTCCTGGCTCCACAAAGCCTGCCCCCTGCTTCCTGTATATCTTCATGGAGATGGAAAAGGGGATTTGAAAAGTGGGGAGGGGAAGAGGAAGTAAGAATGATTAAGTTCACTTATGTGTGAGTACCAGTTCCCAGGATGAATGTAATTACTATGTGTTGCACACACACAAATAAAGCAATTTTTTAAAGCTAAGAAAAGCATTCTCTGGCACAAATATACGTATGGCCAGGTTAAACTTTAGATTGTTCAGTATGTAAGTTTCATGTAGACTGATTCGGGCCATCAATTTTCTGAACAAAGCTGTTAGGCTTCATACTGGGCAGAAAAACAAAGGTGAACAAGATATTGGGTCTGGCCAGGCATGGTGAGTGTGCCTGTAATCCTAACCCTCGGCAGGCTGAGGCAGGAGGGTTGTGGTGAGTTCAAAGCCAGCCTGCGTGAACAGAGACCCTGTCTCAAAAAGCCAAAAAGCACAAACCAGATATGCGTTCTGTGAGGAGCTCAAATTCACAGTACAAGCAATAAAAATGACATGACAGGGAGGCAGGGTGCCTCTGGAAATAGTCACCAATTTATTGGTTTATTTTCCCTCTGCCACCCACATCCTTTATTCCATTTCCTTTTTGCTCCTGTGTTTTCTTCTCCTTTGTCTGACCTCTCTCCTCACCCTGACTTTTTACATTTCCAAGCCTTCCAGCAGACGGTGTCAACATCACAAGTGTTTGCATTCTGGGCTAATATGGTCTTAAGCTTTTGCTCCATGTTTAAGGTAAACTCGTGACATAAAATAGAGAACAGCGGACTTTTCAACCAAAAAAGATGGGTGTGACAATTTTCCTTTTTTAAAAATGTGTGAGGATTTTTATAAGTCCCCCAAAATAGGAGCCACTGAGGGGTTGCTTCTAACATGTGCATTCTACGCCAGAAAACCATTGCTTTTGGGTTGGATTTGGAGTTTTTATCTCAGTTCCTTGACGTGGACGGGGGAGAGTGCTTACAGGTGGTGCAGAGTCCTACATCCCAGCCTTCTGTCAGCTTGAAAAGATAAATATGAGGTAAATTGTTGGGAGCCGTGGCACTGTCAAGTCATCAGACGCGGTGATTGCGAGGCCTGTGGGAAAGTACAAAAGCCTGAGCTAGATTACCCCTCTCATCGAGCCCGCCTGTGTGGCACCTGTTTCTTATCACCCCACTAAGTTCCCGCCTCACAGGGTAGTCTGCCTAGCTATTAATCCTATATATAGCCAGTGCCTCCACCCCCGAGAGAGAGACTGAAGCACGGAAGGAGCCGCGGGGAGTGGACCGGTAGAGGCTTCGAGAGAGACTGAAGCACGCAAGGAGCCGCGGGGAGCGGACCGGTAGAGGCTTCGGGGGAGACTGAAGCACAAAAGGAGCCGCGGGGAGCGGACCGGTAGAGGCTTCGGGGCAGACTGTATAAGGAGAGAATAAAGAAAAGCCTGACCACCGCCAGACCTTGTCGTGTGTCTTTCCTGCCGGCCGGGAGCGACATCGACGTTTGGTGGCCCGTGCGGGGATTGATCAACCCCGAGACGCGGCGGTGGACTGCATTCTCCTACACAGTGCTGCAGCTGCAGGACAGGTGAGTAGAGGATAAGCCTGGGCCCTGGGTGGCACGCACCTACAGGGTTTGTAGACTCCTCTCAACCTCACGCGTAAGTGGCGGGTTTCTTGGGCCTCACGCGGTGAGTATGAAACATAACACCAGAACTTAAGGTAATAAAAGAGTGTAAAACATAAACATAGAAGTAAAAATAACAGAAGATATATTAAAAATGGGAAACATGCCAAGTAAAGATACACAGCCTTGGTGTTGGTCCTTCGGAGACTCCTAAAGTCCAAGGACCTCAAGGTGGGGCGTAAGACTTTAGAAAATTTCCTTGCAGAGATTGACAGCTTTGCTCCCTGGTTTCTGCCTACAGGGCATGTAAACCTGCCCTCCTGGGAAAAGTTGGGCAGAGACCTTTCCCTAGCAGAACGGGAGGGTAGAGCTTCAGTCTCTGCTCGTCCATTGTGGGAAATGATACACACGTGCCTAAAGAGTGAGGGTAGTTACGGGGGGAGCTCTCAAGAACTTGTAGAAGTACGCGAGGTGTTTGAACAGGCACAGTCAGGAAGCTCCCGAGAAGGGTCCGTCAAGGAGGGCAGAGATACAAAAGAGGAAGCCGAGGCGCGGTTTGTGTCTTTCCGCAGGAATCGGGACGAGAGCCAATGTGGGTCCCAGAGAGGTTGACGCGACAAGTCCCTCGACTGAAGATCAGGCCTGTTCCACCAGAGGCCAACCGCAGACCCCACAACAAGATGAGCCCTAAAAGAACTGCAGGACAATCCCTTTTTGGGGGCCTGGAACGGCTTGCTCCCCTATGTGCTACCCTTGTATACGCATGGCTCGCTCGCATGGCCTACGACCGCGTTTAAAAGTGACAGGCTTCCCACATTCTCCTCCCTAGACAACAACATGTAGCAGGGTGGGTGAGTCAATGACGGGTAAGAGCGTGCCTCCCCAGCACGACTCAACCTAAGCCAGGCCCTACCCCGTTCCGCTCGAAAGCCGCTGGATTGTTAGATAAATTTCTCTCCGAGGGGATTCGTGGAGAGAAATGAGTGCATGCCTATGTGCAACCAGGTTCCGTCCGGTTCATTCCTGGCCCTAGAAAAAAGGACGAGGGCCTCAGGGCCTTGGTGGACCCTGGGACGGCCGACCAGGGTCTACGCTAAGGGCCTACGGTGGGCCTCAGTTCGGGGCATAGGCCTCTGCACTCTATCCAGGACGGGCTGCGATGCGCGTAGCCATCATTTAAAATAAAATAGGGGGAGATGTTGGGAGCCGTGGCACTGTCAAGTCATCAGACGCGGTGATTGCGAGGCCTGTGGGAAAGTACAAAAGCCTGAGCTAGATTACCCCTCTCATCGAGCCCGCCTGTGTGGCACCTGTTTCTTATCACCCCACTAAGTTCCCGCCTCACAGGGTAGTCTGCCTAGCTATTAATCCTATATATAGCCAGTGCCTCCACCCCCGAGAGAGAGACTGAAGCACGGAAGGAGCCGCGGGGAGCGGACCGGTAGAGGCTTCGAGAGAGACTGAAGCACGCAAGGA